GTAACTTGGCCAACTGACTGTGGACAGGCTAGCTAAGGAAAGCCCTGGCAGCTCAGCTTGCTCTTACCTTCCTCTGACCACACTGCCCCACCCGGAACCTCCCCGTCCGTCCGTCCGTCCGTCCGTCCGTCTGTAAGGCAGGTCTGTGCTGAGGGAGAGCCTGGGGGGCAGGTGGGTAGGAGGAGTCCATTACTTTTGCCAATCCAGATACTGCACGCACAGAATAAGAGGCCTTCGTGTTTGGAGCACTTCAGTAGGCTTTGTAGCTTGCAAAACACTCTCTGTAATTCACATTCATTTCCCGATGAGGCAAATGAGGCTGAGAGAGGCTGGGTGACAAGTGCAAGGTCATATAGTTAGTAAGGCGGCTAAGGCAAAACTTGAATGCAGTTCTTTTGAATCCAGCCAGTTTTTTGGGAGGCAATTATACAAGTGGAGAAGGTGTGCTGCTAACCAGCAAGAATTCCAGGATTCTGGCTTTTTTGGCAGTTATGTGATTCTTTCATCCTTTTTTAATTCATTCCTTCATGCGTGCATTTACTCATTTGTTCGGGACACATAAGCCCCAGTCATTGCCTTTCAGGAGCCACAGTCCAGTGCTAGCATTTGGAAGCGATGGTCCGTCATGGATGTCCTGAGCTTATTACATGTACTTCTTGTGTGTGTGTGTGTGTGTGTGTGTGTGTGTGTGTGTGTGTGTGTGTGTTTATGTACACATTTGGATTTTTCATGTAAACTTTCAAAAGGTTCCATGACTCCGGCTCCCCTCCCCTCCCAGCCCTGCAAAAAGTTTAAGAAACATTAGCGTAACACCTACTGTTCAGAGTAAAAGGACGCAGCCCCAGTGCCCATCAGTCTCTCCCGCCTGTCTGGGGACCGAGGCCTCAGCACGTGACCATCTCTGGCCCAAGTGATAAGCCGGGTGTCTGGACCACGTGACCGACCTTGGACAGCTCCTCTCAGCCTCGGCTCGTGGAAAATCACACAGAGAAACACGCATCCACACACATTTACACCAGCACCCACACGGCACTGCCCACAGGGACCGCTTTGGAGGGCTTGTGTGTCAACATTGTGACACGTAAACGCTCATCTCTCTCATCCCCACAGCAGGCCTGTGAGTTTGGGAACTTGCCCAAGTTCACACAGCTGGAAAGAGGCGGAGGTGGATTATAAGAGGGCGTCGTGGGGCACGACGGGGGCTGGGGAAAGCTGGCCGTGCTTCTGATCCTTCAGGGATGAGGCAGTGGTCAGGGCTACTAGTTCCTCGTGAGCACTGGAACCCACACCAGACATTCTGCTGAGAGCATTCCTTCTTTCCTCCCACAGCTATTTCGTGAGATCTTCTTTTTTTAAAAAAATGTTTTTATAGATTTTAGAGAGAGGAAGGAAGAGGGAGAGAGAGAGAAACATCGATGTGATAGAGAAATGTCCATCAGCTGCCTCCTTCATGCACCCCAACGGGTACCAAACCCAAAACCTGGGCATGTGCCCTGACTGGGAATCGAATCAGAGACCTTTTGGTGCACAGGAAGATGCTCAACCCATTGAGCCACACCAGCCAGGGCTGGAGCATCTTCTAGGTGTGTGTGGGGGTCGTGGTAGCCAGCCTCCAAGATGGCCTCAGTGTCTGTGCCTGGTGTCTACACCTCCGTGCAGTCCCTCCCCAGTGTGGGTCTGCGTGAGGGTGGCATTGTGCAGAAGCCAAGGTACATCTCCGATGTAGGTGCTAGGACGGCGGCTTCTGCCCTGGGTGCTCTCTCACTCTCCTGCTGCCTCCGTTTTAAATCACTTGCTCTAGTGCAGTGGTTCTCAACCTGCCTAATGCCGCGACCCTTTAATACAGTTCCTCATGTTGTGGTGACCCCCAACCAGAAAATTATTTTCGTTGCTACTTCATCACTGTAATGTTGCTACTGTTATGAATCATAATGTAAGTATCTGATATGCAGGATGGTCTTAGGTGACCTCTGTGAAAGGGTCGTTTGACCCCCAACGGGGTCGCGACCCACAGGTTGAGAACCGCTGCTCTAGGGGGAAGCAAGATGCCATGTTGGGGGCAGCCCTGTAGGGTGGCCCACAGGAAACGGAACTGAACCCCCAGCCAGCAGCCTGCAGACCTGAGGCCCACACCATACCAACAAGCGAGCTTTGATGCAGACCCTCCAGCCCCTGTCAGGCCTTAAGATGACTGCAACTCAGGAGGGTTCCTGGCCCGCAGGAACCCTGGAAGATAACAGGTGCTTGTTTTAAGAAACGTTGCAATACCACTGGCCAGTGTTTAGCTGTTGCTGGGAAGAAGCAAGCTGGAGAGCCCAGGAAGGCTAAGAAAAGGGACTTGAGGCTCCCCAAGGGGCAGCTGTACCCTGGCCTTGCTGCCACACCCCTTGTGCTTTGAAGAGAGGGCTTGGCTAGGTGTGCATCCAAGCCTCTCACATGCATTTCAGGGTCTGCAGAGGGTGCACCGGGAAGAAACAACGGGCCTTCTGCTCCCAGGAATGAGCATTTTCTGCAGCTCCTTGGCTGGCCTACCTCGGGAGGGCTCCAACCCCACCCAGGTACAGGGTGGGGCAAAAGTAGCTTTACAGTTGGTCGTAGGAAAGAGTCATACAATAATTACTACATAATAATACAAGCATGAACTCTGTGTTTCGCACACACCTTCAACTGCAGATCTATGCCATCTGCTTTATCGCGGCTCTTTATTTTTTGAAAGGAAACATCTTTGGTGACCAGCATTCCATGTCAAAATTAAGATTGTGTGACCAAGGGGGCCCGGGACTTGGGGAATTCTGGCCAACATCAGTCTCTGCCAGATTATTTTGCCAGGATCCCAGGTACTAATCCTGCCAGTCATCTTCTCATAAACTCTATGACTTCCAGCTACCAACCAAATAAAGTCCAATGCAGGCGTCTGCAGATCTGGCACTACGATTGGACCCCAATGCAGTGTGACACGAACGGGAATTAGTGCAGACTCCATACGGTCAGAGCACTGTCCCCAGCAAGACTGCCCTCACGTCAGACACCAGCCACAGTTTTTTAAAAATATTTTTTTACTGATTTCAGAGAAGAAGGGAGAGGGAGAGAGAAATAGAAACATCAATGATGCTACCCTAGGGCGCAAAGTCGTGGAGAGCCTAACAGCACAGGATCCTTCTGAGGTGTGGACCATGCTGACCAGTGAAACTGGCGTTGAGATCTGTCCTTCTGATACTACAGTGAAGATTCTCATTACCACAGTGCCACCCAATCTCCGAAAACTGGACCCAGAACTCCATGTGGACATCCAGGTGTTGCAGAGGGCCTTAGCAGCCATCCAACACGCTCACTGGTGTCAAGAAAATGCTTCTCAGTCCACAGTTAATTTCCAAGATTTCTAAAAGTTCCTACACCTGTCCTGTTTTACCCCCCAAATTCCTGTTTTAACAAGAAGGTGGCCATCTGCAAGCCAGGAAGAGAGATCCGCATTATTAACCGGTAAATATTTATTTAAAAATCCACATTAACCGGTAAATATTTATTTTAAATATTTATTTAAAAATCCGCACTATTAACCGGTAAATATTTATTTTAAGAAACCGCACTACTAACCGGTAAATATTTTTTAAAAAATCCGCTTTATTAGCCAGCACGACTATTAGCAGGTGCACCGGTTAATAATATGAATTTTTCCATAATATGTGCCGGTTAATAATGTGGATTTTTTCAGTGAAATATATACTGGTATATATAAAAAGATTCACGTTAATCCTTCCCTAACGTATCTCACATGAAGACGCAGCCCAGAGACTGATTTATTTCTACTCTATGTTGGAAACATCATGACACCAGCTCCTGGGAGCAGTGTGGAAGCCCCACTCTTTTCATCCTGGGAGAAGGCTGTCTCTCCCCCTTTCCACTCCGAGGCATCTTCTCCCTGGTTCCTCGTCTATTTCCAGCCACTGTTCAAAGCCGAGTGCAAAATCTTTCTTAAGCTGCTAAAATTTTAGGGTAATCTATTTTGTGTGTATATATATATATATATATATATATATATATATATTTTTTTTTTTTTTAATATATATATATATTTTAAAAATATATTTTATTGATTTTTTACAGAGAGGAAGGGAGAGGGATAGAGAGTTAGAAACATCGATGAGAGAGAAACATCGATCAGCTGCCTCCTGCACATCTCCTACTGGGGATGTGCCCGCAACCCAGGTACATGCCCTTGACCGGAATCGAACCTGGGACCTTTCAGTCCGCAGGCCGATGCTCTGTCCACTGAGCCAGACCGGTTTCGGCTTAAATATATATTTTATTGATTTTAGAGAGGAAGGGATAGGGAGAGATAGAAACATCAACGATGAGAGATCGACTGCCTCCTGCATGCCCCCTCCCGGGGATCGAGCCTGCAACCTGGGCATGTGCAGGAATCAAACCTGGGACCCTTCAGTCTGCAGGCAGATGCTCTATCCACTGAGCCACACCAGCTAGGGGTAGGCTAATCTATTAGAGAGTAAGAGAGAAGTAAGCCAGAGTTACGTCTGTAAACACAATTGCTGTGGTTCTTCCGGTACATTCTATGGAAAAGAGGCAGACAATGGAAGGAAAAAGTAAGGGAGGGAAGGATGGGGAGGAAGAACCCAGTGTGTCAGATGGCAGTAAGTGCTCTGGAGAAAAACCACACAGGGAAATGGGGTGGGAGTGAGGGAGGTCAATTTAAATGGGTGACCAGGGAAGGTCTGCCTGAGCGGGGGCCGATTACGTGAAGAGCTGAGGGAGTGAGCCTTATAGAAATCCGAGGGGAACAGCGTCCAGGCAGAGGAACAGCAAGTGCAAAGGCCTTGAGATGAGAGTATGTCTGGATCATGTGACCCGTCCAGAGAGTGCACTTTGTATATATTTGCCACTAGATTGGTTGTCCTCACCAGGGCTGGCTCTGGCCACCTCGTGATGGGGCCTCCAGGAGCATGGGGGCAGGGTGCTGAGCCCCCACTGCTCTCGTGTTCCCTCTCTAAAAGGCCTGGGCCTCAGACCCTGGCTTCATGGCTGTATTCCTAGGGGTGGGCCTCATGGTCTCAGGAGGTGGAAACAGACGTAGTGACCATATTCTCCCAGCCTCCAGGTGCTCTGGGATACATTTAAGTGAAACGACAGGGTGACAGAAATGACCTAGGAAGTGCACGCTAGATGCAGAAAGACAAAGTTGCAGAAGCCCTCCACTATTTACAGGGACGACGGGCGGAGGACTCGAACCCCAGCCTCGTTGCTGTGGTTGTAGGTTATTCTTTGCCGTCTCCCCTCTGGAGCCAGCAAAATACACAGCGGATCTCGGTGTCACAGCAGAAAGTGCCCAAACCACCTGCCTGGCCCACTGGGCATGCACACTGACCGCCCTGCCTCTCGGGAACAGATTGGTGGCCCATGAGTGACTCATGGCCTGAGGACTCCCTTTTCCTGTGCTCTCCTCCCTCTCAACGCAGAGATGCCCTGCTGTTTGCAGTTCATCCTCAGAGCTCTTGGGGGGCTCCCGCCAGCAGGCTCAGGGCCATAACGACCCCATTTTCCAGATCAGATGGACGGACAGTGCGACAGACCTGATGTTAGAGGACAAAGGGACAGAACACTGAAGCCAAGGCTTTTTGGGGGAAATGAAGGGCACAGAGTAGCAAACACCCTCCCCCCGCAAGAGACCCACTCATCCCGGAGGGGCAGAGCAGTCATTCATTTATTCCTTCCCGAGTGCTTTCAACAAATCTCTCTTGAACACCTACCATATGTCAGGCCTGGGCTGGGCTGCGTGCTGGAGAAACGACGTGAGCAGAGTTCCTGTCCTGGAACGTTCATAGTCAGCTAGAGAGACGGACAGGTGCACAGGCGAGGGCCTGGTGCCCCCGGTGACCCTGGGAGGGACACTCATCCCAGGCCAAGGGGAGGACCAGGGAGAGCGTGTCTGCGTGGCGATGTCAGGGGAAGGCTCCACGAGAAGTGACTTCTACGCCAGGACCTGCAGGATGAGTAGGAGTTAGACAAAGAGGAGAGCTGTGTCCGGGCACAGGGAAGGCTTGTGCAAAGGTCCTGAGGCAAGAGACGTGTCGGGAGGGCAGAGGAGGAGGGTCTGGTGAGCTTCATCCCTAAGGGCCATGGGGAACCACGGAAAGTTGGGAGCTAGAGAGAGACGCAGTCACATTTGCATCTTAGAAACATCACTTTTGTTGCTGCTGTTGATCCCCCCTCCATGCTTGTCATGGCCCTGTGGCTGAGCACGCCTCGCTGGGCTAGAGGCCTTTGGGGAGACTGTGACCCTGCCTGACCCAGTCCCCAGGGCGCTGCGGGGGTAATGACAGGCTCTCCTCTATCCTGCAGCCCAGCCCACCCCAGCAGGCTCAGGGTCAGGCTCTGAGGGCTGCTATACTGGGTCCGTGGGTGAGGGTTTCACCCCGCCGCTGCCCACATCTGGCCGGCTTTCCCCCCAGGATTGAAGAGTCATTTGTATCTCCAGGGTGGCAGGGCCTCCTCCCCAGAGCCACGGCGCCCAAGATAACAGGGCAGCCTGGGAGCTGTTGATGAAAAGGCCGCCAGGCAGCGGGTGGGCAGGGCCCTCGGACCATGAGTGCTGCCACAGATAGCAACGGGGGCGGGGAAGGCCGGCTAATTACAGCTCCCAGAATAGAGGGGCCAGAGGCGTGGCGGGGCACCCTACCAAGGAGCACTGGCCGCTGGCCAGGCACGTCCCGGCTCCGGTCCCTGCCACAGGCAGAGGCGGGTGACCGCACGCCAGCGGGGCCATGGGGATGCCATTCATCCTTGGCCAAGGCAGCTGGCAGCTGCGAGGTGGGGTCAGGTGGTGGCAGGGAGGCTCCTGGGGGTTGGGAGAGAGAACCAGCCCATTGTGACCTGGCAGGGGTGAGGGTGGTGAGGGGAGGGAAAGGCTGAGCTAAAGTGGGGGGGGGGGGGCATCTTGCCTGACCCCAGAGGAGAAGCTCCCTCCACATGGCTCTGGATATATCGCATGAGGTGTGTGAGATACCGTAAAAATAACAAGAACGAAAGGCAAATATTAGCAGCCATGTGCCAGGCACTGCTCAATGCAACAATATGCATCACTTCAGTGCACCCTCACAGCTCCCCATATTATGCCCACTTTATAGATGAGGAAACCGAGGCCCATAGAGGTCCAGTACATGCCAAGCAGAGCCCATGAGTGGTAAACCTAGCACGACTCCCAAACCTGGGTTCCCGAGTCCGGGAAGCTGTTAGAGGCCCTCGCGGCGCCTGTTTTCTCAGCCACAGCCCAGGCCAGGCTCTTGCTCTGCATCAACCTCCCGGAGCTGTTGCGGGGACCCCACGGGGACAGCGTGCTGTGCAGGGAAAAGCTTCAGATCCGAGGCCGGGCTGAGCTGCGCGCCTCACCCACCCCAGGCCTCTGCTTTCTCATCTGCAGGACGGGGTCATTATGGGCACTTCCTCGTGTCCTCTGAGAACGGGACGTGCCCCATGTCGTGATAATTATGTGGAAGCTGATATCCATCAAGGCTATGTTTGCAGTTGACGAGGGGCGCTCACGTATGCACAGCGCACCCCGGGAGCAGCCTTCTTTAAAACCGGGAATGGTTGCCCTGGCTGGCGTAGCTCCGTTGGTTGGCCATCGTCCTGTGCACCGAAAGGTTGCTGGTTCGACTCTCGGTCAGGGCACATGCCCGTGTTGTGGGCTCGAGCCCCAGGAGGAGGCAGCTGATCGATGCTTCCCGCTCACATTTATGTTTCTTCCTCTCTCTCTAAAAAAATATTTTTAAAATGAGAATGACTCCCCCCTTTTTATCCTCAGTAAATATTTGGTTTTCTTATAAGTAGTGACTTAAAGCAAGCCACACCTGAATCAATTTTCTGTGAGGATTTGCTGCCTTGAAACTGTTTTTTCTTCAGTTGCTTGTACTGAGGTGCTGATTTTCAGCTCAGGATGGGGACCCAGCGCCCCCCAAGTTCCCAGCACCAGCTGTTTCCCAGGCTGGGGCTCTCCACACAGAGCTGCAAGCTTGGATGGCTCTGTGCGACCCTTGCCCCAGGCTGTAGGCTTTTGGAGCCTCCTGCCCTCCTATGGGTGTTTCTTAATGCCGTGCAAGATCCTCTGTCGGACCCAGGGGAAGTGTTGCAATGAACCCCAGGGGCTGGAACTCGCTGACTCATCTGCAGAGCCAAGGGCAGGTTAAGGGCACTGAGGTTGGGGCACTGAGGTCTGACGCTCCCAACATGCATGACCGCCTCCTCCCTGCCTGGTCCCTGGTTCAGTGTCTGTGGTGACCGAGCACATGCAGGGAGCAGGGGACCGCACCTGCCACCTGCTCCGCCCAAACTCTATGTCAGTCCCTCTCCAAGGCCCGTCTTCCCTCTTCCCGTAGGAGCTGGCTCAACTGGGTGCCCGTACCTTCGGTGAGGTTTCTAATGACGCTTTGATGACTGCTCGTGGCACGGTGACATCGCACCACGTGCTGGCTCCCACTGTTGTCCACAATAGTGAAGCTGCTGGCCACCATGAGTACCCCTCTCCGTCCTAGGGAGGAATCGGAGGAGAGGGAGTCTACTAAGAGGGAGCCACTCACCCAGCTGGTGGGGCTCAGTGACTGAGTGTCAACCTATGAACCAGGAGATCATGGTTCGATTCCTGGTCAGGGCGCATGGCCAGGTTGCAGGCTCAGTCCCCAGTGGGAGGTGTGCAGGAAGCAGCCGATTAATGATTCTCTCTCATCATTGATGTTTCTCTCTCTCTCTCCTTCTCCCTTCCTCTCTGAAATCAATAAAAATATATTTAAACAAAAGAAGATTTATGGAGAGGGGATGGAGGTTTTTGCTGCGGAGATCTTCCTAAACTCTAACTCGAGTCCCTCAAGCCAGTCAGTCGAATTAAGCTGGGGGTAGGGTTCAGGTCCCACTTTGCCTGAACCACACCTCCAGGGGCAGTGGCCCAGCGTCCCTGGAAGGTATGTCTCCTGCAGCGTCTTTCTGCCTTCCCTGGCCCTCCACCCCCCGCCTTCTCCGCCCCAGGCATCCGGAGATAACCTACCTGCCTTTACCTGCCTTTACCTGCCTAATGTCCCATCTGTTCTTCTTCTTCTTCTTTTTTTTTTAATATATTGGTTGGAATCGAACCTGGGACCCTTCAGTCCACAGGCCGATGCTCTAGCCACGGAGCTAAACTGGCTAGGGCCTATCTGTTCTTTTTATATCTTCTCTCTCCAGCTATAATGAGCGCCATGGGAGGAAGGGACTACTTTAAAACTGCTTGGAGTTTATTGCGCTGGGCAGTGACTGCCCGAGGTCTCCATAACTGCTCGTGGATTGACAAGACATGGATGCTCAAAGGAGGCCACCTCTCTTCCTGGGGGCACAGGGCTCCAAGCAGCTTTCTCTGTACCACAGCCCTCCGTGGGATTCGAGGAGACCTGGCTTTACGAGGCACGGGGTGAGGTGGGGGTGGGGGTGTGGGTGAGGCAGGGGGTGAGGTGGAGGTGGGGGTGGTGACCCAGGGCTCACATCCAGAGAGCTGAGCAGGAACCTCTGGGTCCCTCCTCCCACCTTGGACTTGGCCATTTGAATACCAGGCTCCTGTTCCCTTAGGATGTCGCCTAAGATGAGACTCCAGTCTTTCCGCCCCAAGTTGGCTCCCTGAGTTCCTAGCCCCCACCCCCACCCCCCACCCCCCAGCACCGCCCTCCCTGCTTCTGCAGGAGGAGGGGCTCTGATTTTATTCCACGTGTGTTTACGGGGGCGATTTCATTTCAAAAATGGATTTGTTTCTAAGGACACACACAGTCTGCAAAATCCTGGTGCAGCGGAAAGTGTTGAAAAGTCTGTTTCTAGACCTGGCATTATTCGGCCGGGCCTGGCCTCAGTCTCCTCATCTAGAAATAGGAACGAATGGAAATAGCTTTCCAACCACAGGGCGAGAGCTGTCAATTCTTCAAAGCTGCGCTCGCCAGCCTTCAGGCAGCCCCTGAGGAGCAGACACTGGTGATCCTGACCCAGGCGGTCTGCAGACCACGACTGGACAAACATCACTTTTTAAAAGTTCCTACAAAAGAAGCTTTGATGTCCGAGAGGAGACACAAGCCGGTAGAGTGGTTACCTCTGGGAAGGTGGGAAGGGAAGCTGGAGGCCTGGGGGCACATGAGGGCAGAGACTTGCCTTTCTGTGTTCTCTTTTATACCTTTTGAATTTTGTACCCCATGCATGTGCATGTACATGTAGATGGATAACATGTATATGCATGTATGTACAAGTTAACCATCTACATAATAAATGTACATTTATTTGAGAAAATAAATTTTAAACGTTTAGAGCATTTTTCAGGTTCAAGGTCGAACACCAAACGCCCCACATAGGACCATTCCTGGTTTCTTTGGGGAGAATCGCAGAGGGTGACCCAGGGACCCCCAGGAGAAGGGGACGGAGAGTCACCCAATAAACCTCTCCCGTAGGCGTGTCACCCAAGCTGGGTGAAGGGTGGCAGGTCCTGAGCTGTGACTGTTTCCCTTAGGGGAGATGCCGGAGGATGCCAGAGATGTTAAAACCAAGCAGAGCAAGACAAATCAACACCCAGTGCACAGGGAGGGGAGGGAGCAGCAGGGCCGCATACCTGACGAAAACGGCCTGGAGGTGTGTGGCAATCCCAGGACTCGGTGTTCCCTGCCTCCAGTGTCAGTTCCTCCCGGCGAAGGCCGTATCTCATTCATCTTGTGTGTCTGGTGCCTATGCCCAGCCCTGTTTATGAGCCAGATGCAAATGCCCAAGGAAAGAACACTTCTCACAGCCCTGCGCCCGGCATCGGCGTCACTGCTGCCACCCCGTCAGGCCCCAGCTCCCAACCCGTCTTCCCTTCTCTTCCAGCGGAGCTTCCCACAGTCCCATGAAACAGGCATGACTATTCTTTTCTTTCTGAAAGATGTAAACTTTAAAAATATATATATATATTTTTATTGATTTCAGAGAGAGATAGGGAGAGGGAGAGAGAGAAACATCAATGATGAGAGAGAATCATTGATCGGCTGCCTCCTGCATGTCGGGGGATCGAGCCCACAACCCCGGCATGTGCCCTTGACCGGAATCGAACCTGGGACCCTTTGGTCTGCAGGCCAACGCTCTATCCACTGAGCAAAACCGGCCAGGGCTCTTATTTCCAATGAACCCATGAGGGAACGGTCTTGCGTGTAGCACCTCGTGTTTTGTGGTGAGCTCTTGGCCAAGTCAGTTCACTTCGTTGGTATTTGTCATCTGTAAAAAGGGAGCCGTTGTTGCTGATATATCCACAGGCCAGGGAACCAGAAGAATGACAAGGTTCAAAAAGGTGACTGGCCAGGGGCAGCACGGGAGGGGCAGAGATCAAATTCAAACGCAGCTTCCCAACAAAAATCTTTTTGCTCCCCCCAGCCTCGGAGGCGGAGGCGGCTCCTCATGGCGCCAGGTGGTGCAGAGCGCCTTGGGAAGGGTGGGTAAGCCCACTTGCTTTTCTCTTCTTGCTTTTGGTCATCATTAAGAATGTGCGAGGAGAAAGGGGTCAGGCAAAGGCATACCTTCATACTTACTTAATAACCTTTTTTGGTTGTTGTTTGCTTAATATATTTTTATTGATTTCAGAGAGGAAAGGGAGAAGGAGAGAGAGAGATGGAAGCATCAATGATGAGAGAGAATCACTGACTGGCTGCCTCCTGCACGCCCCCTAGGGGATTGAGCCCACAACTTGGGCATGTGCCCTTGATCAGAGTGGAACCGGGAACCTTCAGTCCCCAGGCTGAGGACACTCTCCAGGGGTGGGCAAACATTTTGACTGGAGGGCCACAATGGGTTCTTAAACTGGACCGGAGGGCCGGAACAAAAGCATGGATGGAGTGTGTGTGAACTAATATAAATTCAAAGCAAACATCATTACATAAAAGGGTATGATCTTTTTTTTTTTTTTTTTTTAGTTTTATTCATTTCAAGCGGGCGGTAGTTTGCCCACGGCTGCATCCACTGAGCCAAACCAGCAAGGGCTATTATTATTATTTTTTTATTTGTTAGTATATGTGCTACCAAAGCAAGCACAGATTTCTCTTATTGTTGTTAGTTATATCTCTCGATGTGCTTTTGGCCAACTGACTACACCCCTCCGTTTTGCCATCTGTAAAATGGGGCCATTGTCCCTGCCACCTCGCCCGCGCGGGCAGAATTAAAGGCTACAAGGACAGAGAGCAGGGGCTGCTAAGGAAAGAGGTTATTTGTGCCTGGCTTTTCCTACAAACAGACTTCTCCCTCCTCCCCCAGGATCTGTCCCAAAGAGGCATCTGGAAAGTCAACAGAGCCAGCCGGTCTGGGACTAAACAATCAGCAGCCGACGCGGCGTCCGCGGGGACAGAACAGCTATTCAGACGGCGGGGGCGGGAGCGGGGGCCCAGCCGCGAAATGTGGAGAAAGAAGCGCCTCGCACGCGTCCGCTCCGGGCCCACGCGGGTTGCCATGGCCGCCCCGCCCCGGGCCGCGCGCGGAATCCCGGCCTCTGGGGGCCTCGGCCGCCGGGCGTCCCCGGCTTCCTGGTCCGGTCACGTCCAGGAAGGACGAGGGGCACGTGGCGCGGACCGGCGTCCCGCGGGCAGCGGCCCCGCTCCGCGTCTGCCGGCGCCGCGTCCGGGACACGCGACACCCCGCGGGGCTGCGCCGGGCCGCGGCGGGGCGGGCCAGGGGAGCCCCGCGACCGGGACCGGCGCCCAGGTCCCTGCGGCGCCCGCCACACCCGCGTCCCGCCGCGCCCGGGACTCGGAGCTCCGCGTCCCTGCCACGCCCGTGACCCAGTGGCCGCGGGTCCGCCTCGTCCCTGACCCGAGGGTCCGCGTCTGGCTCGCAGTCGGGGTGCACGGCCTCCCACTGACCTCCTTTTCCAGCTCCGGACACTTGCTCAACTGAGAGTTCACCACCTGGGCCCGAAGCAGGGGAGGCGGCCCAAACCACCGGCCGGGGTCCGAGAGCGGTTCCCCTGCGCTCGGCTAGCGCTCCGACCCCAGCCCGGGGAGGAGCCAATGGAGGAGCCATGGGAGGGCAGCCTCTGGGGGAGGAGGGTGCAGAGCACCTAGGAGGCACCTGTGCGTTTTCCTGATGAAGGAACCTTGGCGCAGAGGGAGGGGGAGGGAGAGGGGGCTGACTGGTTCAAGGTCAAGGTCCCACTGTAAGTTACAGCACCGCCGGGCCTGGAGCGCACGTTTCTGTCCGCCCAGCCCAGTGCCCTTTGTCCACACTCCCATCCCCCGCCCGCCTGGAATGAAACCACATCCCCCTGGGGCTAAGGACAGCCAGGCTGTTTGCCAGCAGTGGTTTGGCTAGCGCAGGGACATGCCAGAGAAATGGAAGGTTTCTAATAAAAGCTGTCTCCACAGGCCCGGAGTGTTATAAGGCGCTCGCCCACCGGCTCCACAAACCACCTGCGCAGCCTTCCCCAACACTGGCAGCCTGGCAGCTCCAGGGGGACAGGCCTCCCCGCAGCGCTCCAACCCCACCCTGTGGTGTTTTCCCTTCTGGCACCTGGAAGGGGCAGACGTGTCCGGAGCCCGGTTTGACCTCTACAGCTGGGGGTTTTCCCTCCCTTCTCTACCTGGGTAGCGCTCGGGGCTGGGACAGCAGGATGGGTGGTGGATTTGATTTTCCTGCTATCTTATACCTCTAGGTGAGGTTCTTCCATGCGACCCACAGGCAGTTCTCAAACTGTGTCCCATGGTTATATTTAGACATCCCTTCATTCTCAGTCTTCATGGAGGGCTAATGTAGACGTTATCCAAACACACAATGACAGTGTTTGAAACCACACCGAGGAGGACCCTCTGCTTAAAAGTCCACATCACACGTAGCTTTGCCTAGATGCCGGCCCTGCCCCCCAACAGTCCAGCGAGAACGCGGCCAGCTGCGGCTCCTGTGGTAGATTGCAGACCTCCGCCTGGCCCAGGCTTTCTTCGGTCAGGAGAACCCAGAGGCGGAACCGAGGCCAGCTGAGAAGATGGATCACCGTCCACCTGTGTGTGCTGTAATCGGACTTATTGGTGAGGGAAAATAGGGGTGTTAGTCCTTGCCTCCTCAGCCACCCAGACCCCTCTAGAGATGCTTTGCCTCCGTCCCCAGTCCCTGGGAGAACCACCCCGTCTTCTTACCTGTTGGAGAAGCACCATCTCCAGGGACCACTAGGTTGGGACACGCGTGGTTTGAGGATTTAGAGATCCTGGGACTGTCACTTCTCTGTGCCTCTCAGGCAGTAGGGCCCGATGCTGCAAGTGAGATTGAGGTTATCACAGACTCTTAAGTAAGGAAGCCACCTTCAAGATCAGCCAGCCTGGCCCTCTCACTTTGGTGTGATTCCATAATTACTTATTTGTATACTAGAGGCCTGGTGCATGAAAATTTGTGCACTGGAGGTGGGGGGGGGGCGGGTCCCGGCCCCCTCTCACAGTCTGGGAGCCCTCAGGGGATGTCCTACTGACGGCTTAGGCCCGCTGCTGCCACTGCCGGCCGCCTGCCCTCCTTGGCCCTCGCAGCCGCTTTGGCTTTGTCCGGAAGGATGTCCAGAAGATGTCCGGTCTATGGGTCTAATTAGCATATTATCCTTTTATTAGTGTAGATGGAGTACCCGCCATGTGCTAGAGCTAGAAAGATGAAATGGTCAAGACCATTCTCTTCCCTCGAGGGCCAGAAATAGGACGAAGAGACAAGCAGGTCTGCCAGTAATTAGAAACAATGTGATAAGAACTGTGACTGTTCTGTACAGAGTGCAGGAGGGACCAGCCCTGTGCGGGGAAGAATCACATACACAGAGCAGGTGGTGGCTGAGCTGAGTTGTGAAGAAAGGTGGGTTAGGATAGAGGCTGAATGAGGACTAAAACCGCAATGTCTAGGCTGGTGCCTTTTCCCTACAGGGTCACTGTTTCTATCACCTGGAGATGACTTACTGAGGAGGCTGGAGACCTGAGTTCCCAGCTGCCTGCGGTGAGGCACCCAGAGCAGCATGCCTTGACTCAGCATCCATCAGCAAGACGGGATCTGCCTGGGCAGTAGGGGGAGGGACTGAGAGACAGCCCTCCAGGCAGACAGCAATGAAGATGCAAATCCTTCAAAACCTTAGGTTGACTGGGAGGGACAACAGGGCGCAGTGGTTCCATTTGTCCTAGGCACAATGCCTGGCCCCTGGGATGCTCAGAGGGTGCAAATGTCTTCGCACAACACAAACCCAACTCAGAATGACAACTTGCTGCATGAAGCATGCAGTTAATTACAGAGTGACTATCCAGTAAAGATGAAGTTGGAAAAAAATAAGTGAAGTTGAAACCTATTGCTCTTTTTCTTTATTAATCTCTATATTGGTAATCCCTCCTTTAAAATATGAATGAATCAGCATTTTTATACTCGTCCGGGTGACTGAAATAAGAGAAATAAGAGCATGCAGGCGAAAGGCTGAGAAAGGAGTGCTACAGGGAGGTCCTGGGATTGCTTGAGTTCCGCCGTGACCTTGCCATGGGGCCTTCCGTGGCCCCCTCTCTCCTGGAGTCAGTTTCCTCACCTGTACAATGAAGGCTGGGACACCAAGGCATGTGCACGTCGAGTTTTAACTTGGAGACTTTTGACTCCTGAACCTAACACCTCAGACCATGACTGTGTCCCTGCCGCAGGTGAGGTGGAAAACGGTATCTCCTGGTGATCATCTTGCACATCGCTTGAGGGAAGGAACATAGCCAGGGGTGGAGGAGAAGCATGTGCCCAGGGCTTAGGCCCGGGTGAGCATGCGGGGGGTGGGCTCAGGGGCCGGAGCGGGGTCGTATGGTGGTGAGAGGGCTGGTCTGGAGGAAAACAAGGGAAGCAGAAGGGGCTGTGGCTAGTTTTGCCAGTTACTGGTCAGGTGGCCTTGAGCGAGCCTGCTCTCCTGCTCTCCATTCCCCCAACCTGTGGTTTAATTTGGGGGGAGGGGGACAGCTCTCGGGATTCACTGGGGTGGTCCCTGAGCTGGATGGAGGTTACAGACACTCCACCATTGGTCTCCTAAGCTGAAGTCCCCAGCTGTCTCCTTCACCCCTTCCTAGGGTCTGGAAACTTGGATCATAAAGATGTGGAAAAAAACAAATCCTTTGAAAAGGGCCCTGTTCTTTCATTTGAGACAGCGGGTGTGAGTCTCAATAGGCCCAACCCAAACATGGCCTAATAGCTAATTCTATTTAGTCTCCTTGCGGTAGCAACCTGGGCAGAGAGATGTGGCTCCCCGAGGGCGAGGAAGGTAAATAAAAGAGTCTTAATTTGTAGCTAGCTCATGTTTGAAGTTCTAATTTTGTAGCTTTCCAGGGTGAGCCCTATTTTGTGGTCTAAGATGGTCTGGGGTATTATTTGCTAACCCAAGCCACCCTCATCCACCTCAGCCTGCCTACATTCCTCTTCTTTAAAACTGCTGCTGCTCCCGGCCTGCGCTGGGCTGGCACCTTCCCCTGAGGGGGCTGGGTTTTAACCCACCGAGCTGGCTCAGTAATGACTCTCCTCTCACCGGGGCCCAGCACGGGCCCAAATAAAAACCCAGCTGCGAAACCGACGCAGCAGTCACAGCAGCGCCGCCGTGGCTTCCTACGCTGATTTTTGCCAAGTCACCACCAGAAAGCAAGAAGAGTCATCTCCGCATGCTGAGTACTGACTGTTCTCATTTTCAGTTCAATATTCCTGACTCCAGGGAGGCATCCCTCCTGGCTCCGACTGGCCGGTCTATCCATCCTCTGCTTCTGACCCCTTTCGGGGCTTGGTCTGGCCACCTCACGCTTGAGGGACTGGTAGGGGACTGGGCTTCTGCATCCAACCTACAAGGACCCCCAAATCCCACCCCCCACACCAACATTTGTCCATTTCCTCAAGGGGGAGGCTTCTCAGCAAAAGTCTTCTTTGGATCAGTCTGTGCCCGCCCACGCAGGCTGGCCACACTCTGTAGCTACCATTCCTGTCACCCATTGACAACATTACACAGTGTGATTTACCACCATCTGTGGTTATTAACACGGCCGTGGGCAGCACAGAGGACCAGCCCCAAGAGCTGTGGTCCTGAATAGCTTTCTTACGTCCTGGGATTGTCTTTAACGTCAATTCCAGGTTAATGAATGCCACACACACCACAGGTGCCTAGGACAAGGCGTGGCCTTAAGTGGGGTTCCCTGGAAACTGGTGATTTGGGAGTGGGAGACTTTACTGCCTGTTCCCACTCCTCTTTTTTGAAAATAAGCCCTCAGATAGTGATGCTGGCACAGGCCCTATGTCAGTCAGCACTCCCCCAGAGAAACAGAATCAGTAGGTGATGTGTGTGAGTTTTATATATACTTTTTAATATACAGGTTAGTTTTAGATGTAGATAGACATTCTTTTTTTTTTTTTAAATATATATTTTATTGATTTATTACAGAGAGGAAGGGAGAGAGATAGAGAGCTAGAAACATCGATGAGAGAGAAACATCGATCAGCTGCCTCCTGCACATCTCCTACTGGGGATGTGCCCACAACCCAGGTACATGCCCTTGACCGGAATCGAACCCGGGACCTTTCAGTCCGCAGGCCGACGCTCTATCCACTGAGCCAAACCGGTTTCGGCGACATTCTTTTTTTAAAAAAATATATTTTATTGATATTTTACAGAGAGGAAGGGAGAGGGATAGAGTGTTAGAAACATCAGTGAGAGAGAAACATTGATCAGCTGCCTCCTGCACACTCCCTACTGGGGATATGCCCACAACCAAGGTACATGCCCTTGACCAGAATCGAACCTGGGACCCTTGAATCCATAGGCTGACCCTCTATCCACTGAGCCAAACCGGTTTGGGCTAGCTAGACATTCTTGAGTTATTACAAGGAACTACATAATTGTGGGGGGGCTGGCTAGATGAGTCCAAAATCTATTAGGCAGGTGGCAGGCTGGAACTCTCAGGTAGGAGCTGTGGCTGTGGTCCACCGTGGAACTTCTTCTTTCTCCGTGCTGACTCTGAGGATTTTCAACGGATTAGATGAGGCCCATCCAAATCATCCAGGACAATCTCCTTAAAGTCAAAGGACTATCGATCTTAAATACCATCACCGCAACACCTATATCTGTGTTTGACTGAATAGGGTACTATTGCCTGGCCAAGCTGACACAGAATGAATCATCATAGGCCTTGCAGCAGGAAAAGCGAACCCATCCCCCAAACATGTGTTGATTCCAGTCAAGAGGAATTGTTGCCAGAGTGGAAGGGTCCTAATGCAGTCAACTTTTCTTTAAATGGCTAGTTGTGGCCGGTGTGGTTCAGTGGTTGAGAGTCGACCCATGAACCAAGAGGTCACCAGTTTGATTCCCGGTCAGGACACAGGCCCAGGTTGTGTGGGCTTGATCCCTAGCAGGAGGCAGCCAATGTTTCTCTCTCATTGATGTTTCCATCTCTCGCTCCCTCTCCTTTCCTCACTCAAATCAATTAAATATATAGATTTTAATATATTTTCATTAATTTCAGAGAGAGAAACATCAATGATGAGAGAGAATCATTGATTGGCTGCCTCCTGCACGCCCCCTACTGGGGATCGAGCCTGCAACCCAGATATGTACCCTGACAAGGAATTGAGCTGTGACCTCAACCACTGAGCCACACTGGCTGGGCCCACCTTGGTCTTTATATCTCTGCACCAACCAGTCTGGATGTGGGCTGCCCCTGGGGAGGGCAGGAGGTGTGATTTGGGGAAGGGGCTCTCTCCACCTGAGAGCTGTTGGCACAAACACTCCGGCGTAGCTGGGAGAATGAGTACCTTCACTCTGAAGGGGGAGAATCTGGGGGGCACACCACAGCAGCCACTCGATGACTGTTTTCTGCATCTCCTGTGAGTGCCTATTGGTACTTTGTAGTACTTGTCTACTGCTGCAGGATAAATTACCCCCAAGCTTAGTAGCTTCAAATAACAAACATTTATTATCCCATAACTTCTGTTGGTCGTGAATCTGAGCTCAGCTGAGGCAGTGTCTCTGGCTCAGAGTCGCTCATGAGGTTGTCACAAGCTACTGGCTTGGACTACAGACACCTCAAGACTCTCCTGGGCCGGGAGAGCCCACTGCCAAGCTCATCCACGAGGCTGTTGGCCGGCCCCAGATCCACGTTCAAGTTTACTTACGTGGTTGTTGGCAGGCTTCCGTTCCTGGTCATGCTCGCTTTAGGCTGCCTAAGTGTTCCGGTGACCCGGCGGCTGGTTGATTGGAGAGTGAGAGACCAGGCCCAACTAATCTTGGAAGTGACATCGCATCACTTCTGTCATATTCTATTCCTTGGAAGCAAGTCACGGCATCCAGCCTAAAGAAAGGGGAGAGGATGCACAAGGGGGTGAATACCGGGGGGTGAAGGTCATGGGGCCATCTTGGAGCTGCCTGTCCCAAATACTGACAGACACCGAGCTGCGCATTTCACCGGCATTGCTGTATTTAACTCTCACCGTGACCTTCAGAGAGTTGCTATTAATACCCTCTTTTGCAGATGTAGAAACAGGCTCAGGGTGGTTAAATAACTTGCTCATAGCCTCACTAATTACTGTGTAGGAGAGAGAAGATTGAGCCCAGGTTTGTCTGAACAACCTGTGTGCTTCTAACTCCTTTATTGTGCTGTCTCCCTCAACAACATCTTGGGAAGGCTCAAAGTGGCTGCAGAATACTGAAGCTAACCAGGGCTCTGCCGTGCTTTGGGTGCAGGGACTGAGGGACCTGTCGGAGGCTCTCAAACCAGGCGTTTCCCAGCTCAGGAAGCTCAGGAATAAAGCTACACACAGAAGAGTGAGCAGGCCAGAAGACTGGGTGGAGAGGAATTCTGAAAAGGTTGTGTTATTGGTGAGATCACGAAATCCTCCTTCCTTTCCCGTTCATAGTTGCTAAGTCTGGATTGGAAATCTAGAAACAAATGATCTATAATTATGACTGAGGTATAGTCAAAAAGCTAAGCTTCGTGCATAAGGGACTGTGCAAAGGTATAAGCTCTTAGTAACGGTTAGACTGAAATTCGAGGGCTGTTCCAAGGTGTCTATTGCTGTGTAGCAAACCACCCAGATCTTAGTGGCTTAGAGCAGTAATTGATTTTTCGTGATTCTTTGGGTGGGCTGGGCAGTTGCTCTGCATTTAGCTGGAGGGTTAGCTGAGCTGCAGGGTCTGAGATGCCCTCACCCACATGTCTGGATCCCCGGCAGAACAGTTGGGAGCCCTCCATGCGGTCCCTCATCATTCAGTGGTCGCCTGCCCTTCTCCACTTGGCAGTCATGTGCCAGGAGAATGAAGGCAGACACTGCAAGACATCTTGAGGCACAGGCTCCAGAACTTGACATTATTTTTTGAAACTATTTTTTAAAAATGTTTTTATTGATTTTGAGAGAGAGAGGAAGGGAGAGGGAGAGATAGAAATATCAATAATGAGAGAATCATGGCTCGGCTGCCTCCCACACGCCCCCTACTGGGGATCAAGCCCGAAATCTGGGCATGTGCCCTGACCCGGAATGGAACCAGAGACCTCTTGGGTAATGAGTCAATGGACAACCACTGAGCCACACCAGCTGGGTGGAACTTAAACATTATTTCTGGCCCTAACCGGTTTGGCTCAGTGGATAGAGCGTCGGCCTGCGGACTGAAGGGCCCCAGGTTCGATTCTGGTCAAGGGCATGTACCTTGGTTTCGGGCACATTCCCAGTAGGGGGTGTGCAGGAGGCAGCTGATCGATGTTTCTCTCTCATGGATGTTTCTAACTCTCTGTCCCTCTCCCTTCCTCTCTGTAAAAAATCAATAAATATATTTAAAAAAACACATTATTTCTGCCACCTTCTCTGGTCAGAGAAATCACAAGACCAGCCCAGATTCTAGGGAACTGAGAATGGCCACACCTTTTATTGGGAACTTCATGGAGAAGAGTGGGTGTGGACACGTGGCGGTGTGACTCATTGGGGATCATTGTCATTATCATTTACCAGGGAAATTGTGAAAAGGGAGTTTATGCTTAAGTTGCAAGGAAGCAGCTCTTGTTACCTCGGCACCGGCCGTGGGCTGCAGGCCCATGAGGAAGGGCTGCCATGGGCCTGAGATTCGAAGCGTCGCCTCCGCAGGCCCTCGGCGCAGGCTGGTCTGTGCCGGGCTGGGCGCTGCGGAGCTCGGACCGTCAGCAGCAGAAACACAGGAGACGTCAGATGTTGGAAAGCGCACGTCACATCACCCGATTGGACACAGAACTGCGTTCAGGCCGCTGTTGGAACGCCACGCACCTCTGCCCTGCTTCAATGTTAAGTGTCAACGTGTAGCACAAAGGCATTTTCTTGAATTTTTAATTCACTTCCAGAAATAGGCTCATATATCGGCCTATCGGAGGAACGCCTATCTGACTACGGGTCTTGGTCCAAGTCTGAAAGCCGCTGACTGCGTACGTGCTGGGGTGGGCGGAGTGCCCCTGGATAGCCATGAAGAAGAATGTGTTAACATCAGTATCCAGTCAGAGCTGCACGATAATAAGAGAAGGAGAATGGTAATTCTGCGACTCGGGCAGTTTCCTTCCGTTCTAAGAGGTTCGAAACAAAGGGAACCTTGAACAATATGATTTCCTTTGAATGGCTCAGCGCCCTCGTTGGAATCCTTAGACGGAACCAAACAGGGCGGGTCCGGAGCGGGAAAGACTTGGGACAGAAAGCAGTGGGTCTTCCAGCTGGCTCCAGCAACAGCCCTGACCTCACCACCTGACGCTGGATCCCATCATTATTTGTTTACTGTCAGTTTCTGCCACTGGAACATATGCTCCCTGAGAGCAGGACTCTCTCTGGCTCACTGCCGAGTCCCCGTGGCTCCCTCGGTGCCCTGCACATAGTAGGTGTTCAATAAACATTTGTGGGACAAACGGGGAAGCGGAGGGACGCATGGGGAGGGGTAGGAAGAGGAAGCTCATCCTAACCGCGTGTTTTATAGTCCCTGCTTTTCATGGGGTGGACTTGAAACGCTGTCTCCATCTGTGCTTATTTTTCTTCAAACCGGTTCAGAGCCCAATTATGATCTTTTTTTCCAAGTACTGGTTTTTCCTTTCTTTCTTTTTTTTTTAAAGGTTTTTATAAACATTGATTTTTAGAGAGTGAGGAAGGGAGAGGGAGAGAAACATTGATGTGAGAGTGATACATGGATCGGCTGCCTCCTGCACGCCCCTTAATGGGGATGGAGCCCACAAGTCGGGCATGTGCCCTGACTGGGAATCAAATCGGCAACCTTTTGGTGCCTGGATCGACACCCAACCACCGGAGCCACACTAGCCAGGGCCCAAATACTGTCTTCTAGGATATGTTCGGATTGCTGCTCCGCTGGTCAGAGTAGTGTTACTGAAACCAATCAGCACGGAGCCAGACAGCACGGAGGGAAGAGAACTAATCACTCTAACTTTGGCTGGCAGCCTTGAGGACACATTATCTCTCAAAAGGAGGTCTGCAGGGTGTGTGGGCTGGGCAGCCTATTACCAGGACTAGCGACAACTGATAGTAGCAGATAAGGATTGTTCATTTTACCGAAAAACAAAAACAATTCATTGAGCAAGGAGACCTCAAAATGTTGTCAATGGAGGACGAGGAAGAATTAAGCAAAGACAGACACACAAAGGATATGGCTACTTTTTTTTTACTTTGAACATTAGCATTAGGTTGGTTCCCGTACACATCCAAAGGCCCAGCATCTCGGAGATGTGAAGTGGCACACCTTGTACCAGAGTCTCACAAGAATAAAATAGACAATGCTACATCAAGTGGTTAAAATACACAAAAAGTAGTTTTAACAGTCTATAAATTTTATATACTTAAAATCATGATTGAGTTGAAATAAAAAAGTGCATTTCAATTGCTAAAAAAAATAATATTGGTATAGTTAACACAAGGGGGGGGGGGGGATCAGTACATTGAGGGATCCGACAGGATGCTGGGAGAAGATGGCTCCGGGAAGCTAAGCTAGTTTGGAGACTCAGGAGGAGAGCTCTGTCCACCTCCCTGCGGCCCCCTGGGGCCCACCAGCGCTCCTCCCCCGTGTCTGTCCCGTCTTCAGAGATCCCGTCCTACCTACTGTCACATCCCCAACCGAAACTCTTCTAAACTCCTTTGCAGCATGAGAAGTGCCCGCCCTACACGAGTCACCTTGACCTTCAATGGCATCTTGGCAGAGGTAGGAGGGGACACTGCCCCCTTCTGGACTGGACACAGTACCCCGGCCACATGGCCTTCATCCTTACGACCTCACAGGCAGAACAGGGGCCGAGCAGCTTCTGTTTTGTCAAACTCCTTTGGACAAATGTTCAACATTCAACAACAAGCTTTGTAAACCCAACACTAAACAATTTCTGGCAAGCAAACTGGATTTTCTTTTCTCTAAGAAGTGAGGAAAAGTGCAAGTGATTTCAGTACTGTCAGGGAAAACACAAAACAAACAAGTTACACCTGGCCACCTGTTTTCTAAACCGATCACAGCTTCAGCTTCATTTTTTTTGTCCTCAAGTGTTGGAGTTACGAGTGGACGCCTCTACTGGCCGGGGGTGGGAGGTGGGGAGGGGCAGGGAAGGGGGAAGGAGACAGCTATGCCTGAGGAAGGCCATGCCAGGGGCAGATGCCTCCTGGCCCTCCAGGGAAAATGGCCAGGGTCTCGTGTTTCCCCTCCGCTGATGACCGACCTGCTTACAGTGCAGAGGCTGCTGCAAGGAGCACAATTGACACTCGTGGCCGGAGAGCTGATGAGGGTTCGGAGCCCTAAGACAAGTGGCAGAGAGGGAGCACGCACTGAATTCTAACCGGAGGAGTGGCTGCTGCAGGGGCCTCCCTGGCCCGGGGCGGCTCCTGGTGTGACAGACATCCGTTCGGAGCAGAACAGGTGGGAAGTACTTCCTCACTCACTCCAGAGTTCCCTCCGCCACTCTTGTCCCTCTCAGGGATGTGTTGGTCCTGCACTGGTGGTGGGATTTGGAAGAAGGAGGGTCGCCTTCCTTCTTTAGCCCCGAGCACGTCTCCCTGGCTTTCAATCTTGGGCACCGTTATTTTAAAAGGCTAATGAAGATGCCTGGCCCGCAAGGAACTCTGACCCACACCTCAACCTTTGTTTGCATCATGAAGGCTGAGCAACTACTGGACGCAGTAATAAGGGACAATGTCTTAAGAACCAAGATCTATAAATAAGCATTGAGTCAAGAGAGGATGTTCCCAGGAGAGCTGAAAGCAGGCCCTTTCTTTAGAAGGCTCAGAATAAATAAGCTGAAGTACTCTGCTGCCCCCTTGTGGACAAAGCCGGTACTGCTGATGAAAGAATCATAGTTCATGTCAAGAAATAACACACACATTTGAAGGACTCATCTGGCTTTCAGAGGCCATATATATATATCCTTGGGGGTGCAACTTCAGAAATAAACAGCAAAATTATGCCACATAGTTTTTGTTTTTTACTTTTGAAAAGCCTAACGAGTTGAATAATTAAGCACAGATATTTCTGGGAGGGTTAGAGATTCTAAGAGTATTTCCCACCAACTTGCAAATGCAATTAAACAGAGCCTTTGCCCTCTGCAGGTTATGAGTGGGAATCTCTGTCCTTCTGATCACATGGTCCCCTTCACCTGTAAAAGACAGGTAGGGGGGAAGCTGGGTTCCTTCAGAGAAGCTGGATATTAAGAAACAACTTGATTTTTGGCACATCCGGTACAGACATGGCTCTTTGATCAAAACCAACCATGCAAGTATCAGATTTCCTTCTGACTTGAAGCAAAACTCAGCTCCTGCCCCTTCCTGCCCCATCCCATTCCCCACATGTCCCCTCATCGTTTCTAAGGAACCTGCAGCATCCCCCGTCTCACCAGAGGAAGACCAACTTGTGTAAAGGGGCCTGGAACTGGGAGCGGCGGGGACATGTCTCAGGGCCCAGGGCCCCGTGCTGCCTGCACCAGACGTTTCCCATCACAGACGATGGGAAACGAGCCAACACGGTCTCTGGGATGTGGCCCCTGCACGTGCGAGCCCACCCTGGCTCTCCGCTGGTCCTGCCTGTGCCTCGGGAGGGAAAAGCCACACGTTTCAAAGTGGTTACTTTAGGTAGCCAGTTGTGACCAAAGAGAGGCCAACTTCTAGATCAATAATGGGCTGTCAAGGCAAATTAAAGCGAAAGGAATTTAAAACAACAAGGTACCCTTGCTACCTGTTTCTGTAGAAAGTGACCTCTTGCACTCTGTAAACTCGCCATCCCCTTCCAAACAGCCAGTGCAGACTTCCAATATCTTACCTGAACTCACTATCAAACACAAACCAATTCGCGCCATTGGGCACCGTCCCACCAAAACATACAGTCGCCGGACAAAAAGGACTCTGTTCACTCACAGCTGCCTCAAGTCCCGCTGCAGGTGGCCATCGGTCTGGGAAACCTGACTGAGCATGAGCATCATTAATTTGCAGAAAGGAGGCATGATGCTTTACGTCAAAAGGAAAGATCGTAACTAAGGCCCAACTGCTCAACTGCCTAGCTTTCATCCACTTAAAAAAAACCAACTCACTCCCATTTCCTCATTTGAAGGAGTTGTCAGTTTTGGGGAGAACTGAAAGGGAGCAAGGGCCCCGTGGGCTGCACAGACTCCAGTTCTGACGGACAGATTGGCCAGTTGCTCACATGTTTTATTAATAAGGTGCTCATATCACACGGAGAACACACTGCAACCCCCTTTTTATGACATCCTTCATATATTATCTATCAACCATATTTAAAAAATTAATTAGATGAGAACAAGTAGAACGTTATTGAGGAGGATGAGAGAGGGAGGGCAAAAGCCCATCAAGGACTTAGGATAAACCCACAGAGCACCTTTAAATGATGCGATTAAAATACAAGTATGGGTACAACCTTGCAAAGTATTTCTGGGAGAGAAAGGGCACACGGGAATAGGGCATCGCACAGCAGCATTCAGGATCCCTTAGCAACAGGAGGCCGTCAGGAGGACGAGGAAAAGATGTTCAAAAGAGATACTCAGTGACCTTTCCTCTTAAAAGAACATCTGGTTTCTGGTGAAAGGAAAGAAAGAATAAGAGAGACAAGGATAAAATGTTCCATCATTAGAGATGCGGTATGTGAAGAAATAAGATATAAATAAAAGTTAAAAATGCAATCTAACCATGACGTGGGGGAACAGAACAAATACGTTCAAAATTCTTGTCCACGGTGTTAGCTGTTTTGTAGAGCCAAACCCACTGGAACAGGGTGAATGTCAAATCTCCTGGAGAATGAAATAAGCAGAGGTAGGAGTTAAACCAGGAAAAGAATGTTCCAGGATGCTGGCTGTTTGAAGGCACTCAGGAACAGTGCGAGGATCAGATAATGGAGGGTCAGAGAGACGTGTATAGTCATGTATCTGCCGCATGGAAAGAAAAATTCCAGAAACGTTGCGACAATACATGTATCACCGAGTAATACACAGAGTAACAAGGTAGAAATCCACTTTGTAAGTAGCTCCTTATAATAGTACAGCGTCTACTTAGGGGAAAGAAAAGTTTGCTTTCTGAATAGGCAACTCTGCAAAGTAGTTTTGACTTAAATGAAGAATTTGATAAACGGTACATTATCTGGTTCTTTATTTAAATGTACTGAGCCTCAAGCTTCAAAGCTGGGACAACCAAGGAGTTTTTCTTTTGAATCTTGCAAAACCTATCCACTGAGACAAAAAGATCTCATCATAAAGTCTATACAAAGTCTAGAGTGTTTATATAAAAGCAGAGAAGTAGGAAAGTGGGGATGTTGATGGCGACTCTTATGGCTTCCATGGAAGGTGTAGAGAGGATCCCTGGTTTGCTTTAACGAGGTAGTGCCCAGGGCTGGAAGGTCATCGGTACCGGTTATAAACGCTACCGCTGACAGAAGCAGGTTAGGCAGGCGCTGGTATTGCATAATAATGCCACTATCTCTAATGGCCAATGACCTCTCATTCCTGAAAAAATGACCTTTTGGGAAATTTTTTATCTTGGTTTAGGCAAAGGAAAATGGAAACCCAATATTTACTTGCTCTCAGTAAATTTTACAGTCTGAAGGGTTTTACAGTCTGAAGAGTTCCAAGTGAGTTTATTTTTGTAATGGTGCATAGCTGATAAAATTCTTCAATGTAATCTAACCCCCTTTTCATTAAATACTTCCCACAGTCTAGAACAGCATCGAAATGTTCACCATGTGGATCAGCAATGTAATCAAAGCTGTCTCTTCTATACAGTAGCTCAACAGAAAGGTTTCTCTAACTTTAGTTTCCTCTCATTCTTCTTCTTCTTACAATAAAACCCCACCACCATCTGTGTTTCACTAATGGAAATCGGCAAGATGGGGTAAATATATATACACATCTGCAATGGATTTCTATTTCTGCTTGATCTTCAAAATTTAAAACTTCCAGTGAAATAAAAATTAAACTAACCACATATGTCCACTCACGAACATAAAAACTGAAAAATATTTAAGAAGTAGAAAATTCAAACTTCTCGAGCATCTCTTCAGAGTATTTTGCCTCCAGTTAGTACACTAAAGACAATCAGATTATAAGGAACGTCAGTCATTAATAGAGAACAGTTCATGTAAGTGGTAGACTGGAAAAGCATATGTAACCATAAAGTTTTATGTGGTGACCCCCCTGCTTGCTAAAAATGAGAATCAAATCGGAAATGAAGCCACATACCTTCCAACCGTCCATCTTATATCCTCCAAATTAAAAAATGTAGCTTGGTATGAGCAGACCTGACTTAATATGAGAAAGCAGCAAGCAGCCCTTCAATAGGCTACGAAAGAGTTTATATTTGAATGATAAATCTATGAGAAAAAAATGGAAAAAAAGCAGTATCAACTCAAGAAAGTCCTTGGGACTTTTCCTCAAGTCAGTCTTGACCCTAGCGATGGTACAAGGCTTTAAAGACAATAAAGTTAAGTAGTGAAAAACAGCCTCCATTTGGTATCTGTGTAATGCTGAGATGTGGCCACTGTTACCTTTAAAAAACAGATTTAAGTACAGATAATGGCTGAGAACTCAAACTCCTCCACAGTTCCCCTTTCCATAAACAGAGAGCAAGTAGGAATCAGTTTTTTAAAAATCCCGGGTGCTGTGCTGTATGTGGGAGAGAACACACCTATTGCAACTTTTATCTTCATTAAGGACCCAATCAAGTTTTCAACCCTGAGTCTGCGTCCCAAGCATGTTAAACCTGATGTGCACATATGTTTAAGGCTTAATCCTGCAGTTCTCATGTTCAGAAGCATTCAAGTTGTGACTATTCTTAATGCGTTTCATTACTCCTATGTAATATGCCACTGATGAAGAGTCGTTATATTTTGGGCAATTTTCCTGAAGACCACAAATCCTGCCGGGAAAGGAATACTTACACAGTGGGGGGGAACTGGAAGTTTTCAGATTGTTCCACAATACATCTCACTAAGAACTGTATTGCGTGACGTGCTGATTTAAAAAATCTGCTTCTGTTAAGGGTGGGGGTGATTATTTGCTTAATACCGGCTTTCCTGTGTAGCAGATACTTTCTTATGGCTATATTCACTCGAATAAAGAAATCAAAGATGACTACCTGAATTTTCCAGTGTATACTCGTAGTACACCTCATAAAACAGTTGCTTCAATGGTCTCAAGTATAGAATTCAGAATTGCTGCCCTTTACGTTTATTTAGAATAAAATAAGGTATAGCCAATGAACTAGGCTGCAATTTACATCTCTAGTAAAAAGTGATTTGAATATCGTAGGCTTGGCCATGAGATAATGATGTCTACATAAAGGCGCAGACCCAAAGCCTGCCATGGAATTCCCAGGAGACTGTGGGAGCAACATCAGGTGGCCACCAAAGGTGGAGCAAACAGGGAATTAACTGTCCTTTTTCGGTTGGGTACCTGGGTGTTCAAAGGATGTATACAAATATTTAAAGTAGCATTCTTTAGAAATTAGATCCAAAACCAGGAAGAAAAGTGTGTTTTGAGATACTTTTCTGCCTCGTTCCAAAATCTGCCTATGCTCATTATAGAAGACAAAGGCAACAATCACAATGGGGGGAAAATGGACATATTAAACCAAAAAGCGAATAGAGAATGCAGTATTTTTAAAATAGGACTTAACCTCAATGGAAAAAGTTCAACTTTCCCCTCATCAGAGCTAATCAGCCAGAAAGGTGCTTACAGTATGTCTGCTGATTTACTACTAAAAATAAATAAAAGCCGGGGTTCTGACTCAGGCAATGACTTACCAGCCGGAGGAAAGAAAAACGAAGACATTTCAGGATTAACAAAATCAAGAGTGCGCCCTTCGGCAGCACCTGGGCTGCCAGGACGGGTCCGAGAGGATTCGCTGCCTCCGCACAGGGCCGACACGCAAACTCAGGAAGCGTCTACATATTTTTAAATAAACAAATTTTCAAAAACCAAAAGAGGAGGAGAGAGAAAGTAAGGAGACTCCTGGCTTTGGAACTCAGTTCTCTGAGATGAAAAAGGACAAAAGTTTTAGTTGTACTGAATCTGGATAAATTTGATCCGTAAGTACATTGACAGTTAGCCCTTCCGTGCAGCCTTGCCTACAGTAAGCTGCTGGTTGATTGTGCTTTCAAAGTTCTCCAACTTAAAAAGGAACCTGCCGCAAGGTCTCAGAGAGGCCGCCCCCCGCATCACCCACGCGCGCTGCGACCCCAGGCCTGCAGAGCACAGGCGGGGCCGCAGTTCACGGTGGGCACGGGCTCCCGGCCGTGGATCTGTGCAGTGACACAGGGACGGCAAACTCCAGCTCTGTGTTCCCGCCCACACTGCTCAGCCCTCTGCACCGCCATGCTTGTGATCTGGTGTGCTGTTCTACCTTTTCCTGACGATTCCAGAAAAATAAAGCGACCTCAAAATGAGAAGTGTACTGAGACTTCACGTCACGGTTCCAAGGGAAGTGAGAAACAGACGTGACTGGGATGAGGCCATCCCCACTACTTCCTCCTCTGGACAGTGAGCAGCTTTCCTCGGATTTTCCAAACAGGCCACTTCGGGCGGCTTCCCTGGAAAAGGCCCCACACTCCGCAAACCGCCCACTTAATGCACGAGCTGAACCAAGCGAAGCCTGGAGGGCAGGAGCGTGTCAGGGAGCCCAGAGACACCGCGTATTCAGCAGAGATTAAATCTACCCAGGACTGACGCCAAGTCTGAAAGCAAGACCCCGCTTCTGCAGTGGCGCGGTCTGGAGACCCTCTCACACAACTGGCCTCTGAAGCACCTTGAGTTGTACGGATGTAAGAACAGTAACTTTGAACTATAGAAGTTATATGCATCTTTAAGAATCACATTTGGATGATTATAAATTTTTTTCTATTTTACACCATAGGTCCAGCGACACTGAAAAAATTACACCGCTTATTGAAATACATTTCATTTTAGAAACAGACTACTAGAGAAGTCCATACAAAAACTAAATTAATTTCTGTAGTAAAATAAAGAGTGTGTTAGGAGAGCTACACAAAGAAGAAAATTTCCATCTTTCTCTATAATGCTTGATATACTGTGAAAACGTGGCTAGCTCAACTGGGCAGCCAGCACCAAAAGCTGAAAAGAATTCATTACGATACACAGTGATACAATTAATGCTCTGGATTAACCTCACAGTCTTCCCGATTAGTACAAAGGAAACCAGGCCTGTCCCCTCTTGGAGGAGACGTCCGGGGTAAAAAAGCAAGCATACCTCATCAGCTGATATGAAATTATAAAATTCCACAGTCCGAGTGTCTGACATTTATAAAAGTCACCAGAAAATGCAAGCTCAGTGGGCTTCAGTGTGGTGGCTCCCCTGGTTCGGATGACGGGCCCCTCCAGGACTCCAGGTGCTCCTGTTTGTCCCCTCGATGTGCTGATTCACCAAGACAGTGACGAGCTCCTGGCGGGCTGAGCAGACAGGGCAGCCATGCCCCCCGCTCGCCAGCTGCCTGTGGGCGCCAGCGTGGAGCACGCCCTGGAGACGGTGTTAGTGGTGCTGCGCCGCGCTGTTCTTCTCGGCCAGGTGCCGCAGGAAGGAGTCCTCGCCCTGGCCCTGGCCGCGGTGGTTTAAAGGCTCGCTCTTGAAGAGAGCGGGAGGGGGGGGCAGGTGAGGGACGGGCGGGATGGGGAGGTGGTGCGGGTGGTGCGGGTGGGGGTGGATGTGCAGGTGTGAGAACGGGTGGGGGATGGGCCGCGGGGGGAGAGCGGTGACAGGGTTCATGTTGATGGGAGGGGCTGGGGTTGTGGGTGTGTTCACCACGGAAGGAACGGGGGCGGCGGGGGAAGTCGTCAGTGGGATCTGGACAGCAGGCGGCACGTTCACGGGGCTGGTCACCCGAAAGCACTTCTCCTTGTGGGCCTTCAGCATGTTGGAGAAGCGGAACCGCTGGCCGCACACATCGCACGGGTAGGGCTTCTCGCCTGTGTGAGTTCTGCGGTGCCTCTTCATGTTGGGGCGGCTGGTGAAGCTCTTGCCACAGATTTCACAGATAAAGGGTTTCTCTCCTGAGATGAACAGAGACACAAAAATGATCAGCTACTCGGGGGAATTATGTGCTCGCCATTCCTTAGATTAAGAAAGGAGATTGCCACTCCTCTCCCTTACGGCATATTACATTCTAATAGCAAAACACGAGTCTCCCAAAGCGGGGACTTTAGAACAGATACGAGTAAAACGAACAGACAACCTGCATCTGGGCTTGGCTCACAAACAGGGCACCTACAGTAGCGATCGTTCGCGGCCTACGGGAGAACTGCCCACACAATGCCCGGGGCCCCAGGAACCAACACCACCGACCAATCCCCGCCTCCAATCCGGGCACGCTGGTCTGCAGGCAGGACGGGCATTCCAGCCACAAGTGGGACTTTGCCGAAAAGGTCCCGTGGAGCGAGTCCCTTGGTGGCCACTCGGGCATCACCCTCAGCCTGGGGCTGGCTCACTGGTACTGGACGTGGAAAGGGCTGGACGCAGCCTTCCGTGTGAATTTCACGCTGCGGTGTTTCTGCATAAGAGCTACTGGCGCTTCTGCAGACGGCCCTTCATCACATGGGACTCCGCACGCCTGAAGGGCACGCGGCATTCCTGGTGCCAGCTTCCTAAATGCCCGAGATTTTTATAATAAAAAATGTCCCCACACCATTTCCGAATGTCCATGGGTATGTGGAGAGCTGAGAGGGTGGATGTCTTCCTGAGAAGCAGTGAGTTTTGGTAAAGCAAACCCAATCAAACTTGAAGAGTACTGAGGGTATTCTATTTAAAGCAGTCAGTGTCTTCCAGCTTTTAAAGGTCCAGAACCCTTTCCTTAGAAAAAATACACACCAAACAAGTTTCATACTATTTCAGGGGACCCCACGCCCTGAGTAAAGAATCCATTTTCTTGAAGGAACCTGAAGTTAAAGGGCACTAACAAGTAATCCTTTATAAAACAGAGCCATGAAAGCCTAATCATTCAGTGTTATAAGTCTGTATTTTTATTTAAAGTGAAATTTCCACTCGGCATGAAAATTGGTGTTTACATTTTGAAATAAACAGACTCACAGGTGATCAGCAAGTACTTGAGACCGAGCCGTGCCTTCCCCACGGAGCCCTTACCAGTGTGCGTCTTCATGTGCTCGTCGAAGTACTGCTTCATGTTGAAGTCCTTGCCGCACCACTGGCACATGAACTGCTTGTGCCCGATGTGGATGCTCATGTGGGAGCGCAGCTGGTACTTGTACTGGAACCGCTCGTCGCAGTTCTGCAGGGACACGGGAGACTCTGGACGCCGAGCACAACAGCCTTCCTGGCCCGAGCCCACCCCTACACCTGAGAGGCTTGCTTTTCCTACTCAACACAGAACCTGCTTTTGTCAACTCTTTGGCTCTGCTATAATTCTGCAGCCGAGTTATTCATAAAAGGGGAATTTCTCATATAATGATTACTGATTTACTAAAAGAAAAATAACTCATGTGTCAGTTCAAAATTTAACAATGTGTTAAAAAAAGACATTTCTCATCCTGGCCGGTGTGGCAAAGTGGTTAGAGCATCCGCAGTGCACCAAAGGGTCTTGTGTTTGATTCCAGGTCAAGGGCACGTACCTCGGCTGCAGGTTTGATCCCCAGCCTTGACTGGGGCGTGTGTGGGAGGCAACCAATCCATGTCTCTCTCTCACATTGATGTTTCTCTCTCTTTCTCTCACTCCCCCTCTATCCCTCCCTTCCACTCTCTCTAAAAAGCAATGGAAAAAATATCTTGGGTAAGGATTAACAAAAACAAAAACACACAAAAAGGGTATTTCTCTACTGAGCAGTGAGATAACACGATGCTCAGAGCACCTGTCTGCAGGCTCTGTGGCCTCGCGGCCTGACGCCCCGCACCTCGGAACCACCTCTCGCGGCTGCCCCACACGGACGAACGCTACTCCGGCCCCGAGACCTGCGCCTGGCGGTGGCACCTTCCTTACCTCACATCTGAAGGGCTTCTCTCCAGAATGCTGCAAGGAGTGCACCTTGAGTGACATACTGCGTTTGAACGATTTCCCACAGGTTTCACATGTAAAAGGCATGTCTTTCGTGTGCGCTGCAACACAGAATGCACTTTAATCAAAATAAGTTCTCCCAAAAGCTCCAATTGGAAAAGGTCGGTGTCCTACTGTAAGGCCATCACACCACCTTCATTCCCACACGCTGACACGGGAGGCTTTCATGGCAATGTTCTGAAGAGGAAATAAACAGCAACGGTGAAAAGAAGCCTGGGTGTGGGAGCCGAGCCGGGACCGTCCAATTTGGTGATGCTTCCTGACGACATGTTGCATTTAATTCCAACCAGTCCGAAGGGACTGAAGTGAGGCAGTGCCTCGTATCCTGCCCCATACAGAGCACGAAACACACCAAAGCACAAGGGAAAATTGTAGGTGAGAGAAGAGAAGCCGACAGAACTTACCGACCATGTGTTTCCTCACGTGAGCCATGGTGTAGAATTTCTTCTCACAGATCTCACAGGAGAATTTCTTTTCTGCATATCCATGGACGATCTTGATATGTTCATGAAGGGACCAGAGCTTCTTGAATGACTTGTTACAGGAAACACACTGGGCAGGACAAGCAGAAATCATCTTACTTACAGGGGCTGCAGAAAGCCAGACCTGCCTGCTGGCAGGTGACACGGTGTGCTAGGGTCCTGGCGCAAGGCCAGAATCCAAACACGTGCTATCCGGCCATGCAGTCCAGGTCCAACACCAATATCTGTGTGTCCTATTTTCCAAGATGCATCTTTTAGACACACTTTGGGAGTATGAAAACAATGGCAAAAAATAAGACAGGAAGAAATGGAAAGTCCCACTAATATCAAAGAAGTGACTGCTTTTATCAAATTTGTGTTGTACCTATAAAAAGAACCTGCCAGCTTTTAAAAAATATATGCATTACCAAAAGCGGCTGCCTCCTACATGTGGGTCACATAGGTGTTTACCAGAAAATACAAACTAATTTCAAATTAACATAAATAAAAGAAGAAAAAACAAAATACACATTAATGGTTATAGATCTGCAGAAGTATAACAATATTTCTGTACCTTAGAGAGTGTATTTGGAACCTTCGTTAACACAAATTACTGAGATTTTATTATATTTTTCCAAATCTAATTTGCTCTATTAAACATTTCCCTCTGGCAGAATTTAACATAAGCTCGAACCGGTTAGTATCTCTCTCCCTTTTCCCTTATAGACCAGCTCCAGATGCCTCATGTAAGTCCCCACGGCAGCGATTTTCAGTGGGTGTGTCAGAGTTTTTAAAACATGCAATATCTGACTATTCAGTTAGGGGCACTGACCCCTTAGATCAGTGGTTCTCAACCTTGTGGCCCTTTCAATACAGTTCCTCATGTTGTGACCCAACCATAAAATTATTTTCGTTGCTACTTCATAACTGTCATGTTGCTACTGTTATGAATCGTCATATAAATATCTGTTATGCAGGATGGTCTTACGCTACTCCTGTGAAATGATCGTTCGACCGCCAAAGGGGTTGCGACCCACAGGTTGAGAACCGCTGCCTTAGATTGTCAAATAAAATATTACAACAGCCAATATGATAGCCATCCAGTGTGAATGAACAAAAATTATGCCTATATTTTTGTCAGATAGGCAGGAAATGTATTTCTTGATGTGCCGCAGAATTTTATAATTAGTTTATGTGCCACGAGATGAAAAAGGTTGAACATCGCCGACCTATAGAATGCAACACTGCTTAGCTCCTTGTGTTATGAATCATTAATGGTCTAGACCAGCGGTTCTCAACTTGTGGGTTGTAACCCCTTCTGGGGTCGAACGACCCTTTCACAGGGGTCGCCTAAGACCATCGGAAAACACATATATAATTACATATTGTTTTGTGATTAATCACTATGCTTTAATTATGTTCAATTTGTAACGATGAAATTGGGGGTCACCACAACATGAGGAACTGTATTAAAGGGTCGCGGCATTAGGAAGGTTGAGAACCACTGGTCTAGACGATCAGGCATAAAGTGTATGAAAATAAAGTGCTTCTGGTTAAATCAAAACAATACTAGAAAGTTCTAGGTAACAATCAGACTCTGAGATACTTAAGGAAACACGATGGAATTCACTGTAAATAAAGATCTCTTAACATCACTGTCACTTCAGGAAACAAAGACTCTGGGAAGGGTTAAAAAGATAAGCTGCTGACGAATACGGCGTGAGAGAAGGACAGACAACGCCTATAAGCCATTTTGTGGGACAGGCTTTAATTTCTACTTGTTGCTAGGTCGTCATGATCACGAGGATCCATACTGAGGAACAAAGCAGTGTTCCTGAGGAATGCAAAGAGTTCATTCAGCAGCACCCAAGAACCTACACGCATGCTTACACGCGTGACGGTGAGAAACAGTGAGGAAAGGCATCAAATGCTTCCTTTTCTGTAACTTAATAAAGTAAATTTAAGTTTAAAAAAACCGTATAAAGGTCTTCAAGTTCAAGATACACCTTTTTAGCAACGAACGCACAGACCTAGTGAAACCCCTAGGGTGCAGCACCACTTCACTCCCTGTGGCCTGAACCCTGGCAACCAATTCATCCCCCAGCCACGACTCTGTTTTCTCTTATTTACCCAGCATTTGGGAGATCAAATCACAACTGATGAATCAAAAAGCAGCGAAATTTTAGCAAATATAATTTATATATATATATATATATATATATATATATATATAAAAAATTGATTTCAGAGAGAGGGATAGAAACATCAATGATGAGAGAGAATCATTGATTGGCTGCCTCCTACATGCCCCCCACTGGGGATAATGCCAGCAACCCCAGCAAGTGCCCTGACCAGGAATCAAACCCTGACCTCCTGGTTCATGGGTCGACACTCAACCACTGAGCCACACTGGCCGGGCTATACTCGATATATTTAAAACTCTCTTTAAAGTAAAGCAATGATCTCAGGTGTTGATTAAAAGCAAGAGGAAATGTGAAAAATAAGGAGCACTTCAGGAAACAAACTAAAACAAAACAATTGCATCTTTTAAAAGAAATTTAGCGTAAATATGGTACAAAATATGTCTATTTTACATATTTTATGTAGGCATTAATAGACTTACCTTCAAAGTATTCACTGATATGCATTCGCATGTGTTAACCAATATAGCTCAGCACAGTAATATTATTCACTTGACAAAACATAATTAGCACAACTTTTACCCTATGGCAACACAGTCCTCTCAAGGCACCAGCCTGGTTTGAGTACCATGTTTTGTTACCTTAACCATATGGTACAGGAGCATTACATAGCCCTACTGCCAGGCGGGCAACATTTGCAACCAGCTCAGCCTCTGTTTAAAGTTTGCATATTCCCATGGGCTCAGCCTCTTGACAAATTTAGTGTTGTCCTCTCTCCACTGGTGAACGCAAACTCACTCCTGGAGATCTTCCATTTCCACGGGTCTGAGTCATTACGGTTTTGTCCCCATCGGCTGCACTAGAACCTGGCACCCTTTCAAGCCTAGAAAGGGACCGCTCTCTATTCCCGCACTTTGCCCAGTATTTCCCACCTCGACAGAGAAGATGCCAGAATGAATGGTAACGACTCTGAATCTCAGTGCAAAGTCGGCGTTGACTTCACCTACGGGGCAATCCCCTACAACAGATCCCCCTTCCAAGTACCTGGGTTCCCGCTAGTCCAGCGTCAGTTAAATTTAATGCTTTTGAAATAAAACGTTAAGCCTGGGTTTGGCTGTTAAAGAGCTAAACTGGCGAAATCTGTCCCTTCAGCCTCTATTGTACTTATTCTCTTGGGCAGATACCAGGTGAGTCTGAACAGCCAGGCTCTATGCTGGGGAGCGTGCCCTCTCGGTGATGAGACAGACCTACCTGGATATTTTTCTCACAGTCTGTTTGCTGGTGAAGGGACAGCTCACTTTCCAGGACAAACTTCTTGCCACACTTATCACAAATCTGCATGCGCCTGTGAGTAACGTTCATGTGCTTCTCCAGGTACCAGCGCGTATTAAACACCCTGGGGCACTTCTCACAGGTCAGAGTCTCCTTCTCGTCACACTTAGCTTTCTGGGCCGAGGCTCTGGGCTCCTTGGCGGCCCGCTTCTTCCGCTTCGGCGGCTCTACACTCTTCCTGCGACCGCGGGTAGCTCTGGGAGCAGGGGAAGCGGGCGCTGCGGCCACAGAGGCAGCCCTCCTCGTCCTCCTCTGCGCGACGCCGACGTTCTCCGCGGCCTTCTCCTTTTTCTTCTGCCTCGCGTTCTCCCCATAGTCACTGCTGTTGTCCGTGGCCTCCTCCTCACTCTCGTCGTCGTCCTCCTCGCTGCTCGTCTTAACGACAGGAGTCTCTTTGGACTGAGAAGAGACACCCTTCTCCCCTTTAGACACATTTAACGTTTGATTATTAAGGTTTACCTCCACGATGATCTGCTCCCTTTTGTAGGAGACCTCCTCCTCCTCCTCCATGTCATCAGAATTCTCCCGGTCTTCTTTGACAGCATGCACGTCGGAGCCGGCTCTGGTCTCCCTGAAATACGGCTGTTCCTCTGTCTCGTGGAGATGCGGTTTGCTCGCCTTGGTGTCCACTAACACGGAGTAAGGACTTCCCGACTCCCTCTTGTACACTTTGGTGGACAGGTCCAGTTCTTGGTTGGCACCATGATAGAAGGTAGACGGCACCTGCGCACGACGGCCGTCTTCCTGCGCCATCCCTGCCACATGCGCAGCACAGTTTTCAACCAGCTCCTGACAGGAGCCGGCTGTGTGGCTCATTGGTAAGTGGCCCGATTTATGAAAGAGTTCAGACTATAAAGAAATAGCTTTAAAACAGCATAATTATCAAGACTCAAATCTTTTTCCATCCACAAAGAATCACTCAAATTTAAAAAAAAAAAAAAAAAAAGGTCTTCCTGGAACCCGTGAGCAATTCTCCCAGTGATGCAGCACCAAAGCGTAAGTCAAAGGTTTGGTGTTATGGCAAGAGCAGAGCTAGTGATTTTTCGTTTGAAGATCAGCTGCAAGTGACTTGGAGCATCTTATCTACAAAGAAAAGCAAAGAAGAAAAAAGTCAGATACCACTATTTCCTTTGTATAACATGCACGTACACCATACAGCAAACACAGCCTAAAACGATCAAACTCTATATATACAATTCTTTCTTCTGCTTTTAAATGGTTCAGTGTGGGCCATTATTTTACTGGGTTACATGAATTCAACAAACATTTTGTTAGAATTGGATTCTAAGTAAATTCTAAGGTAGCAGGAGTCACTGTCCCTTCACTGAGATATCTTAGAGCTTAGCACAATGCCTAGCACTTCGTAGGTGTTCAGTATACGTTTGAGGACTAAATGAATAGCTGCTACTGCATAGCACTCATTATCCTAGATGCTGTGAGGCACACTGATACGGCAAAATATATCTGTCTACAATTTAGCCTGGTTATATAAATGCGTCGGACATGGAACACACAAGAGCATTCTGCTTCTGGCTTTCGTTTCAATGTCAGACACCACTGTCCACCACCGTGAGGGCTCACGGACAAAGGTGGCAGTGGGCTAGGCACTGCAGGCCAGGAAATAAACCTGCTACTTGACATAACTACTGAAAAGAGAAAATGTCCCTGGCTTTAGACAATTTAAATCTAGATATAGATTATTACTTTAGGTACTATTGTTTTTAGGTTTATCAGAATAACTTCAAAATTGCCAAGTATTTTTAAATTTGTTCTATGCATAGCTCACTAGATCCACTCAGTAACTGGGTGATTCTTCACGTGTCAGTTGCAGAAATCTAAATTCTAAGAAACAGTAACCATCAGGTTGATATGGTTCCAAGAAAAATAAAACCATCACTTAAAAAAAAAAAAAAAAAAAGATCAGAGAGGCATGTAATTTGCTTTGTGACATACCTCACATTGCTGTTTAGCCAACCACCTAACCTCTGAGTCATATGAAATGACTGCAAACACATACTCTGTCTAGTTGACAAAAGAAGAAAACCAGTATTTACTGAATGCCTGCTATGTGCACAGGCACTGTGAGGGTGCTTATTATCTATTATTTCTATTTAATAACCACTGCAAAACTTTGGGGTTGATTTTTACATTATTCTTCTCTTCCATTTTCTTTCTCTGTATGGATTTGTTCTTTAAAAATTATTTTACTTTCATTTTAGTGGAATTTCAGAAAGGAGTGGTGATAAATGCTACTATATTTTACTTGACATCTGCATAGATATATTTACTTTTTTGTATTTATTAATGAGAAAAATTATGCCTCTGAGAGGCTAACTAATTTGTCTAAGATCACATATCTATTCAATGACAAAAGCAGTGTTTGATCCTAGGTCTGCCCGACTCCAAAGCTCATAGTCTATCTCTACTATGACAAGTGACACTCCAAAAAATAACTTAAAATTAATTATTCCTGTAATCACAGACCTTTTTGCAATAAACAGTTTCACACTTCATATTTTAAGTAGGAAAATCCCAGTAACTTTATTTCACATGTACCAAAACTTCTGACCCTAGAAATAATGTAAACTACTACAAGTACTGTTATATAAACTTACATTGATCTCAAATTAAGCAAGGGAAGAGAAACAATAAAATTCATCTAACCAGCAAACGCTAAGAGTTAAATAAAAGTCAGGAAGACAAAAAATAAGTAACGGAAGGAAGGAAGGAGGGAGGGAGGGAGGGAAGGAAGAAAAAGCCCCTGTAGTCGGCCATTAATACTTTCTTCGCAAATACTCTGGGCACAGGGTAGGACTGCACTTTCCAGCCCTGCCCCTGCCCTGCAGCACATCGGGAGTGGATGTGACACACAGAAGGCCAGGGCATCTTCTAACCAAGATAAGAGCCTCCAGACCTCATTCCCTCTGCCACAGGGGCCAGCGATCTTCACGGTGATGACGGCTATCTTTGCTATCGGCTGGGGTCCCTGAGGGACTAAAAGGACTTACAGGATATATGCACAGTGCAGTGGATTTTTTTAAATATACTTTTACACAGAGTGTGTTTTTCAAGCCACTGGGATTTTGTGTTGTTTATGCCTACAGCATAACCTGGCCTATCCCAGCATATACAAGTGGAATCTGGAAGTGGGGTGCTGCTTCATCAAAATACCCAAAATACATAAGAAAGGTTTAGGAAGCTGGTAGGAGGCAAGGAAACTGCTACTGGAGGCTAAAAGGATATGATGCAGTGCTGAAATGATTGGTGGAACTCACCTAATTACCTCATGAGATAGATAGCATGCCACAGAGCCGAAAGCTCTAGTGGGGAAATGGGACTACAGGACTATTAAGAGAGAGTGCTGGTTACTGTTGGTTGTATTTGAGATATTACTTCATGCAAAGGGTAAATTCACATTTCCATATCTAGAATAATAAGAGCACAATATGCTAATTAGACCGGACAGCCGAACGACCTTCCGGACATCATTCCAGATGTCTGTCCGGATGAAGCTGCGGTGGAAGGGAGGCAGAGGCGGTTAGGGGCGATCAGGCAGGCAGGTGAGCGGTTAGGGGCGATCAGGCAGGCAGGTAAGCAGTTAGGGGCAATCAGGCAGGCAGGCAGAGTGGTTAGGGGCAATCATGCAGGCAGGCAGAGTGGTTAGGGGAGATCAGGCAGGCAGGCAGGCAGGCGAGCGATTAAGGAGCAAGCAGTCCCGAATTTCGAGAGGGATGTCCAACTGCCAGTTTAGGCCATATCCCGCAGGGGTATGGCCTAAACTGGCAGTTGGATATCCCCCAGGGGTCCCGGATTAGGAGAGGGTGCAGGCCGGGCTGAGCCCCTCTCTCCTCCCATGCACGAATTTCATGCACTGGGCCTCTAGTAAGACAATAAAAACCAATGTGCATTATTCATTGCACAGTTGCTGAAGCTACCTTAACTTTCACCAATAACCCCTAGGGCCAAACAAGAAGTTAAATACTAAGGAGGCTACACTTCAGGACCCGATGATCACAATGCATATTTACAACATCTTTCCTGTTCAATTCCATTCACAAACACCATCGAAAGGAGAATATAATTTCACCAAAGAGTTTTGTGTTTGTTTTTTTTTTACTTTTTAAAAATATGTTTTTATTGATTTGAGAGAGAGGAAGGCAGAGGGAGAAACATCAATTGGCTGCCTCCTGCACTCCCATTCCTGGGGATTGAACCCACAACCCGGGCAGGTGTCCTGACAGGAATCGAACCACAGACCTCTGGTGCATGCGCTCAACCAACTAAGCAACACAGGTCAAGGAATTATTTTTAAAAGAAGGGTAAGAGTTTTATTTTTATTTTATTTATTTTTTAAATATTTTTATTGATTTCAGAGAGAACGGGAGAGGGAGGATGAGATAGAAACATCAATGATGAGAGGGAACCATTGATTGGCTGCCTCCTGCATGCCCCCCAATGGGGATCAAGTCCGCAACCCTAGCATGTGCTCTTGACTAGAATTGAACCCGGGACCCTTCAGTCCACAGGCCGTCGCTCTATCCATTGAGCCAAACCAGCTAGGGCAGGTAAGAATTTTATTTTACTGTTAGCTTTTCCATTAAAATCTGACCAAGTCCTGGCTACATGAACATGCAAATAAAATCCAGTGCCCTTGCCCTAAAAACAACCAGGAGAACATATCCACAATATACATAATCTCGGAAGGTCTCAGTTTAGCCTGACCAAATGTTGTTTTATGGAACACAATTATTTTAATGCACTAGTCCATTTTTAAAATGCTGTCAAGATATCTTGATAATTATTAACTGAAACCCCGCCTCTTAGCTTTCTTAAGGAAAGTAAGAGACTTAAAAGGCCTGTGAATCTTCCTTTTCTTAAACTCCTACAAGTAACGCCTCAGGTTAGACGGAGATATACTTAGCAGGATGTTCACACTATGGCTACCTACAATGTGAGCCATTATGAGAGGCCTATGTACGTGTCAATTTGACTAGATCATTGTGAACTTGAATTAAAAACTCATTAAGAAAATGAAAATAAGTGAAGTGCCTTTATTACATTACATTCCTATATTTTACAAAAATTTAAATCACAAACATTTTAGATGCTTAACAACATCAGGAAATTATGGAATTTAATGTATATACTTGACCTACCAAAAGGAATGTTATTGTTTTTTCATTAACAAAAATTAACACTTAGAAAAAAAGCTTAAATGAACTAATCTTTTTTTTTTTTTTCAATATATTTTATTGATTTTTTACAGAGAGGAGGGGAGAGGGATAGAGAGTTAGAAACATCGATCAGCTGCCTCCTGCACACCCCCTACTGGGGATGTGCCCGCAACCAAGGTACATGCCCTTGACTGGAATCGAACCCGGGACCCTTCAGTCCGCAGGCTGACGCTCTATCCACTGAGCCAAACCAGTTAGGGCAAAATGAACTAATCTTAAACCAAGGGGTATATACAAATAGTCTAAGGCAAAAATATTTGAAAGCAGATGGGAAGGTTTAACTCAAACCCTAACATACCCGGAACATGGCCAATGGAAAAAGACAAATGCTAATATATCACCTGCCTTGCCTTCCCATAAGTCTGTATGTTCCTCTCCTTAGCAGCAACTCTTAAACTTTGGAGAATCTTTAGAAAAGCACAAATCTTCTCTTTCATAAAAATGAACAGACAAAATTTTGCATGTAATATCAAGGAGTTTGCCCTTTTCTAGAACCCCATCCATGGATCTCCTAGGGACCCAAAACCCCCAATCTAAGAACTCCTGCTAAAGAGCAGATTTAACTTTTTCATATTTGAAATGTACATTTAGATTATGTTTGTAAATTAAATTCTTTGCCTCCTTCGCTCTTCTCCCTACCTTTTTCTTCTAATCTCGCCAGCATAACTATCATCATTAATGAATTAAATGAAAAAAATCTTAAAAAATAGAAATAAGAGATCTTAGTATGAACCCCAATATGCCACTTCACCAGGTATATCACCTTGGACAAGCCAACTAATCTTACTCAATCTCAATGTGTTCCTTGTAAAGCTAGAACAACAATACCCACACCTATTTAATCTGATG